AGTGATGTCATCTTCAAATATTCTCTTATTTTTGGTTTGTGGCTTCATCTAACTGTCTGTAGACTTTCATAGTCTACTGTGGACAATGAAATGTTCACGTTTCACTTAATTGAGTCAATCAGATCTCACTTAATAGGGTCTGGGAGCATGCACTTCCTCTGTATGCTCCCCAACTTCGCCCCTCTTTACAGGCGTCTGTGAAGGGTATTGCCTCACCCAGATTATCACCCACTTCTGTAGTGACAGTCGTGATTTTGTCACAAAAGTTTTTTGCCATGCTCTTAGTGAATAGCATTGTGGGCAATACCAGCTAACCCATTATCATTGCAATATCTGATTACTTGCGATTTGCAACCTATACCTCGTAAAATTCTTTGTATTTGCCAGAGAGTTATGTTGCCAAAGATAGGCAATGATCTGTTGTGTCCTACCAAAGATAATCTGCTGAAGTTAGAGAACGGACATCTTTCACTTCATTTCAGATATTTAAGCTGCGAACGTTTCCCGGCAGCGGGGCATTTGCCAACGATGGCTTTATTGTAGGTCGAGTCAAAGTGAGCATTTTGCTTTTTTCAGTGGTTCAGAATTAGTTACACAATGCGATAAGTTTTAATCAAACAAGGAATGACAGGAACAATTTAGCACATGTGCAACAATTCATAGCAGTGCCTATCCATACCCCTCATGCAAATAGGGAGGGGTCTTGTTTGCTTAGCATCAGTAAGTTGTGTCCACCGTCCAAGAATGTGGACAGTAATTATCACATTCCTAGCTTACATGACATCACCTTATTGTGGAATATGCCAAGTCACCACAGAAAATTAACAGGAGAGAGTAGAGCTGCTCCGTACCCGTAGAAGCACTGGCTGTTGGCTTTGGTGAGCTACTTGGTCATCTCGTGCCGTATGTAGTAGTTCACAAGTAGATATCTATACATCTTAATAAGGGTTCTGCCCACGCCGGTCGGCGGTGGTCTGGCCCGACCACCAGTATTGCCTTGCGTCCACTGTTCCATTTCTCTACCACAAGCTAGGCACGTGAACGCGCATGCTCAGTTGTGAACGTACTCGCTCATGTCATGTGGAGAGTCCGTATATCAGACCAGAGCGCACAGATGTGTATCGAAAAATACAGCAAGAGTGAAATACCTGTTTCGAAGCGCTTGAGAACCGATCAGTGTCAAAATGCTCTCGAAGCCCAGGAGTCAGGAAGCGATCCTGAGCCCGAGAGCGAACTAGAACCCGAATCTAGCAGCGTACGGACTTCATCGACAAACTGAAAGTTCCTCTCGGCGTGGCCGAGCCAAGCAAAAACAAACTTGTAACTTCAACAAGATTGGCTTAGTAGGCACGGGTGCTCAGTTATGTACAGAGAAAGGGATGTTTGCACTTTGTGCCAGAAGTACGACATGATTCCCTTCACACACGGCACATGGAACAAAACCCCCTGCACCAGACCAAGAGTACAAAGTATCATTTCCCATGAGCGTACAGTACATGTTTGTAAACATAAACAACATAGCCTCAGGCACTTTCCTTTAAATTTACTTCTTCACTCCTCAAACTTTCTAATGGTAGCACGCATAGAGGTGAAAACTGGTACAAATGGGTATTACATCATTTCCATGCAACTGAACACAATCAAATAGCCTCAGGCACTTCTCATTGTACTGCTAACGGTAGCACACATTGAGATGAAGCTTGATACGCATGCATATACATCATTTTCCATGACAACTAAATATTTTTTAACAACAACAAATAGCCTCAGGCACTTTCCTTATACGTAGTAGTATATAAAAAATGAGTGGAGGCAAAGTAAATTAATACCCTGCAATTTAAAGAAAGGCATTTTGTTTCCATGACGAACACAACAACAAATAGCCTCAGGCACTTTACTTTAAAAATTACTTCTTCACTCCTCAAACTTGCAAGGCTTGCCCCCTTCCACAGAAATAATACGTTGTAGCATACATAAAAGTGAGTGGAGACAAGTAATTGAAAATGCTGCGAATTTAAAAAAAGAGGCATATAGGGATGGTAGTAAAAAGAAAGGGACACAAGATAGGGATGGGGTACATGAAGCATAGTTAATGAACAGATTTGAGCATGCTGAAACCCCGATCCCATCATACAATATCCCTATATGTTGCCTAGGTGAAGTTTTAAAACATTCAACATTACAATGGTCAGGACTTGCAGCTTGAAAAGAAAAAAAAACTCATGCTACTGAGTAACCAACACCGTTACCATAACCATGTGAAGTCATGCTAACTGAGTAACCGAGTGGCACACCAGGCAACGATTGTGTGACGGGGTTGGGGGAGTCAGCGTGCTCATATCTGTTCGCTTCATATACCCTATATGCCTCTTTTTTTAATTCACAGGATTTTCAATTTACTTGTGTATGTTGTATATACTACACATGTATTATATTGTGAGTAGGTTTGTGGCTTCATAAACAAATGCAACAACCACTCAAACCATCCTGGGCAGAACCCTACTAGAAACGCACTAGCTACGACATGCAACGACCACCCACAATTAAATGCGTCGAGACTGGTCTCGCGGAGCCAACCCCAACCCCTTTTTATCGCGAATCTAGCCCCTCTCTGGCTGGCTCCTATTATTTATTTTTCACACCTCATACCAAATAGCTACGTCTCCCTCACCGTCTTTTGAGAGGATTTTCTGCTTTTTCCTTGGCTTATGTTTTCCTGCCCAGAGAGAGGCACGCGCTTAGCCCGGTCCATCATCAGCAGCAACTAGGCCTGAGCTAATTATTCACGAATAAAGGTAAACTAAGGCGTACACGTACACGGACGGTGAGCTGTCCATCACTGAGCATGCGCGTAGAGCTTCGCAAAAGAACTTTGACCTGTATCGCGTGTTTAACAGATGGCCTAAAGCGGGAGCCCTGAATCTGAACCGTTGTCAATCGGTTCTCTCAGTTGTGATCAAGATCTATGTTCATTGTCCACCTTTTTCTCACAACATGGCCTATCATCAATATCACCCATGTCACATGTGCGTTAGTTTTGTCCGTTGTCCACCTTTTTGTGCAATTTTGATTTGATAATCACTTGAATAATAGGCAAGGCTAATTTGAATAACAGGAGAGTGTAGGATGAATAAATAATAGGCAAGAATGAGTGAATATTTAGCTCAGGCCTAGCAGCAACTTGTCGAGTCTGACGTTACCACACCCTCTCGCAACAATAGAGGGTCTGGTCTGTCTCATCCATCGGTTATCTCCAATCAGATTGCAGAACAGCCAATTAGCCTAGCTTATCTACGTGACGTCATATTACGGTGGAATGTGCAAATTTCAGCTCGCGCGTGTATAGTGAGCTGAGCTTCCCTGCACCGTGGGAGGACTGGCTGTTAGCTTCGGTAAGCTTCTTGATCATCACTCCCTCCGGTAGTTGGCCGTGAAATTAACGCGTAGCTTTGTAGACGGATGCGAATGGAAAATGATGACGTCATTGCATTCCACATCGTTCGAGAGGGTGTTGCTACGCCAGACTATCCTTCACCCGCACCCTGGGGGCACTGGCACACACCTATACCGCGAGCGCCCATGCGTGGAAACCCAGCTTGTAAGCTTGGTACCCAGCCTTCAAAGCCCCCTTCCCTCGGTTCTTTCTCCAACTCCATTGAATTTGGTGTCTGACCCACTTCTTTCTGCACTTAAAAGAAACCTCAGTGTACGGCCTCTATCTAGGTGCCTTCGCCCATGCCGACAATATCCACCCACCATCCACACTAGTGCCACAAACCTCGAGGATGTCAGCAAACAGGCTTAAGTATCCACTGTGGATACCTTCACCCAATCCAGAGGTCTAAAGCTGTCCGAAAAGTGTGCTGTCTTTTCATTTGGTCACACTTCTACACACGCAATTCAGCATCAGTTGCTAATACTTGTGATAGTGGTGGGATTCACATCCAACAAGACATCAATCATGAAAAAGATCAACAAAGAACGCAGAGCATTCTTCTTTCACTGGGAGCTAAGCTGCTTAACCCTATATCTTCTTGCAGTCAGATCAAATGCTGCATCTTTCCTGTCCTCTGAATCATGGGTTCTAAATTCCACACTCCTATCGAAGCTTGAATCCTTTCAAGCAGAACTGGGTAAACGGCTAAACACACCTAAAACACCATCCCTCTTGCCCTCTGACACCATCTCCAGGAGTATTGTAAAACAATGTAAAATTCCTAAAGGATGAACTGGACTCAAATTTTCACCCACAAGGTTCTGTCCCAGTCAGAACAAATGTGCCATAGAACACATCTTTATGAGCTCATTTCATCCTAACCTGCCTACTGGATTATTTACTCTCACCTTCCTCGTTGATCTCCATCAGGAATGACCCTGATCGTCTTCCTTCGCAACACACTTCCCTTTCTAACCCCTATTAATACTTAATTGTGTATTTTTTCCTCCCTCTCTTGGGGTGGGACTTTGACTTTGACATGATGCGGGATTGCCAGTCCAACATTTAACAGCTCTGGGCTTGTGTCCCAATAAGTCTTAGTGGGATAGCCACCCCTGACCATACTACCAATTTGAGGTTCATGAGCAAGCTCCTCCGTACAGGCTCTTCCAGCTGTTATGAGGGGTTACCCCCTCTTGAGGCGTCTGGCTTAATTTTTAGCTGAAATGTATCAACATGTTCGCACATACGGATCAAGTACTGCAGCTGCAGGAGGAAGGGGCTCTAGCTAGTGTTCAGGCAGGGCAACAACACACTACTCCTATACATCTGACAATGTCTTCAGCCGTGCTATCTGTTGAACATCTACAGCCACGTAATATTGTAAAATCCAAAATTCCAGGCTGTTAATGTTGTAGATACTCAGGGTGAGAGCCAATGCAGTAAGTTAAGTGAAATAATTATATCATCGTAAAATCGCAAGTGGCAACATATTGTTTTTCTAACCCATGAACCAGCTCACCATATCATCCCTCCCGGCGTGACACGAAAGAGTCTAGTCAGTGAGGGCAGATAATAACAATAAAGCAAGAAACTCTAGCTGACAGATAAAACATACGTGCATGTTATGTCTAGACACACTTGCCAGTCAATTAAGTGACAACAAGAACAGACGCTGCAATGAACAGTTGAGCACAATAGTAAGTTGTCATAATCAGCACTTGTGCATAAAGAAATTTCACTCCCCATTTGTTTACACTCAGCATCATATCCGACAAGTAAAATAGTGCAGCACCAGTAGCTCCTGCAATGGTAGGGTATGTGGCAGACCGATATGCTTGTATCAAAGCAGTGCACAGCATCGTTGATATCAGAACACAGTAGAGAGCAGCAAGGACAGCCAAGAGAGGCTTCATATGACTAACAATTGATACGTATACAGTACATGATATTGATATCACTATAATTCCAATAATCATCTCAATGTTGCTAGCTCCTTGGAAAAGTGCCAATTCACCTCCAAACATTGAAACATAGATGCCTTGGGCAATCGCAAATGAAACAACGCCAAGAAGAAAAGTGTTCGAGAAAACAAGATAAGCATCTCCAAACACAGAAAAAAGCAAACCCCAAAAAAGCTGGTATAATTTATTAGTAGAGCCAGGTGCAGACGGTGAAGTAGAAGCACTAGAAACTATTAAGTTCTTCGTAACAGCCAACATCAACATTAGCAGTGGAGAGCACTTCAAGGTAAGTTTTACGATCTTTGACTTTGTCTTGTAGTCCAGGTAGACAAAAATAATACACAATGCTCCATAACACGGAATGAACCACTGCCAATGCTCCATGATTCTGGAAAAGAAAAAGAGAACATATGTACCTAGCAAAAAAACCAGCCATAGTCATTCTGCCAACAAAGTATATATAGAGATTTAAAGTGTATATTAGCAAAAACTCTTAATCCTGACCCAATATCCGGTGTGTTTCTCGTGCTCTTCTCTGACGTCAGGCTAAAAACACTGCAGCGGTTCCGTAGACCTTTGCATGCTTATACCGAATTTCAAGTTGCGGTCTCATCAGCAGAGACAGGGCGCACGGGAGATCCAATCGCAACAAACACAAAAAGGGTCCAGTATTACTAAACACAGGGTATTTTGTGCCCCTCTCTGAGCGCCTCGAAACCGTAGCATAAGAATGTAGTATTGCTTTGTGATCCAGGTTCCACAGCAGAGTTACATATGCGTGATAGTATTAGGACAAAATTGTGTATACCTCAAGTCTGCAGAAAGCAGAATGAAATAAAGGCTGGTGTGCGAACTGTCTACGAAAGGAGAGGAATCCCTCTTCCAACTGATCAAGACCAGTATGAGCGTAAATCCTGGGAACCAGTGATGAATGATACATTCATCACACTTAGCAGATGGTTGAGGAAAATCGACGTTTTCAATCAGGTAAGAGGCAACTGGTTTCACTGGAAGAGAACTGGGAGCAGTCTTACTTTTATCAGACTAATTTCCCCCAAGGCATGGGACAACATCACATATGGATCACATCCTGTGCAATACAGCAACCTAATTATACCAATTCTGTAACTCAGACATTAAAAAAAGCTCTCTTTTTCTTACATACAAAAGCAATTATACAGAACCAACAAGATGGCCTTGTATTGGCATCAGAAGAGAGACATAGTTCTGAAAAAGTTGGGGCACGATCATTATTTTCTAAAGAGCATTTTGCTGTAGAGCACCTTCATTGCGCTTATACTTGTGCACTTGTAAATCTAAAATGTTGTTGGTGAAGCTTCTCTATACCGTTGCAACGGCAAATAGGCTGCATGTGAACACTCATTAGAATTCTCTGTCTCATCCATAAATAAAATCTGGAAGAAGGTTCCTGCACAACGCTAACATTTCGGCAATGTGAGTAAGTAGCATAATAATGTTGTGAACAGAGGTGAAATGGCCAGCAAGCATTAGCTCCTCACTGACACCCACATTGGCTCTCTCACATAAAATATCCTCATAGGTATTGCTTAATGTCTATGCTCATATGTGCGTTAGTGTGTCCGTCTGTTGCCACGTTTTCTGACACCACACGCAACGAGACTTACAAGGCGCACCAGTGAGCAGTTGAGGTATGACTGGTCCTCCATAACACGAGCCAAACAGCGATTTCATGTGACACGGTTAGCTGTCTCGTTGTAGTTGCTTCCTATGTACGCACAAGCGAGGCTGCCTGGCTCGTGTCATGGGCCTCACCGTCTTGTGTACGCTATCGAAGCTCAAATGGAAAAACGTGGCTACCCTGATGTCACTCACATGCTAAGATATATCCGGCTCTCCTTCTGCTTTTAAGGGGGTTCAAAGATCATATGTTAAAAATTGTCCTCGGAGAGGGAGAGCCTGGGAACGAGGCTAGCTAGTGCTGCCACCATTGTTCCATAATCGGTGGGTGTGGTTCCTGTATAGGGAAACACGGATGGGTGTGTGTTGCCAATCCCTTTTTCTGATGGGACACAATCCAGACATGTTTTTACAAATGACTATTGTTGTAAAAATAAAGTTATAGTGTCAAAACGGAGTGAACTCGATTATACCTTGACCGCATTCATGAGGTTAGCATACCATGGAGACATTAGAGAGTCGGTAGACTCTCTACATAGGGATGACACGGGTGAAATCTCACGTGATCCGCGTACAAAAAGACTAAAAACTGGGTGAGAATGACTCCCTAGGCCTTCAAAGCAATAGTCTACGGGCCCATATCTACCTATACATGTCCCCCAAGACCTCATACGCACCTTCAGTCGTCCACACGAGAAAATTCGCTCATATGCGATTTCATGATTTTCGTGTCATCATCATATTTTTCATCTTCTTCTTCTTCTTCAGACCCGCTAGCTCCTTATTGGAAGCACTTGAAGCGTTGATTTTTTCATGGAACGTCTCCGAATTTGCCGGAGGTGTGCACGCATATCAAGCGATCGCTTGTTTCTTGCCGCAAGTCATTACGGTAGATCGTTGAACTCTTCGTCGGTAGTCACTGAACAACGCCATTTGCTGCTAACTCAGCATCAGTGAGCCGCATGCGCCGAGGAGGGCGTTACTAATGCGGTGCGCGCGCATTTTCTCTCGTCCACGAACGAGACTAAGACAGGAGTGGATGCCTTCAGAGAAAATTATTCTCATCCTCCAGTTCCTTCTGTAAGTCAGTGTACACATTTGTAAGTGGCTAGCTTACGTTTTGCTGTTGATTTGAACGGGGAGCAACTTGGCAATCTGCGCCGTGTTACGCGTGCCTTGCCAGGGGCCTTCATTGTTTTTTCTGTAGCTATCATTGTAGTCTGATTTCTGAAGCCTGCCCAATGAAACCACCACCATATGTGCCACAACCTAATCGCGTCCTTGTTGGAGACACTACGCATACACCCTGCTTCAGGTAAGAGCAGTTCTGCTTTCAACAGTTATCTCTACAACATACCCATGAACATCAGAGTGACTGAAAATGCAGTGCTGTCACGAGCCATTAAAAAATAGTGGAAACAAGTGGAAAAATCATTTCTTCAAAATGAAGGGGGATTAGGGATGGCTTGAAGCACAAAAAAAGAAGAAACAAGGGGTCATTACACACCAAATATGCACAAAACCACATGACACCATCCCTATATCTTTGTTTTATTGTTCATAAGCAAAGTTTAGTACGAGACAAAGATATAGGGATGGTGTCATGTGGCTTTGTGCATATTTTGGTGTGTAATGACCCCTTGTTTCTTCCTTTTTGGTGCTTCAAGCCATCCCTATATCCCCTTCATTTTGAAGAAATGATTTTTCCACTAGTCAGAAGTTAAAACAGAAGGTGAATTTCAAGTCCTGCGATGCTTTAAAATGCTAGTCTAGTTTGCCCAGTCAGATTCTATAGTGTAGCCCAGCCCATCAATCCGGAGGTTATGACCTAGCTGCAAGGCTTATAATGCGTGTGTGCCCTGGGATTATTGCACTTCGTGCTTTTCAGTGAAAGTAAAAACGCTCAAGCGACATAGTTAATGAGAACTGGACTCTGAGACAGAGCGAAAAGACCTTCATTGCCCCTTAAGTAGGGTATCCCTTTGTGAGACGAATGAACACTCGAGAAGTGAGATGAAGAGTAACAGACACACACAGACAGACCCAATGAAAAGCACTTCAGTGCAAATCCTCGGCGAACTGCGCATGCGCGGTACTGCTAATTGATGGGCTGGGCTATTTTGTGGTGGTCTCCCGCCAGTATAGCTCGCGGAGAGTCTGACACGGGCTAGTAGCTACAGTAGTAGCTAGCATGCGGGAGTCGATACACGCCCTTCGTTGTTACTTCTTGTGCCTTCAAGATACACAGCATGCGTGCCATGGTCGAATTAGCATATAACCGGATGCGCATTTTCTGCAGCGATAAAACGGCCGACTACGCATTAGCCGTACAATGCTGGAAGCGCTCTAGCTTTGCAACGGAGCATTTTCCGAGAAAACCCGTTTCAAATTTCTGACCTTCATTGCCCGTTAAGTAGGTCGTATCGTTTGTGAGACGAACGAACATTCGAGAAGTGAGATGTACAGTACAACAGACACACAGACCCAATTACACTACCCTCGCTGCGCGTGCGTGCCGAGGGTTAATAAAGCCATGAAATTATGTAGGAATGTACATATCCATAACCACATGTGCAACGTCATACTTTTTTGTTGTAAACAATGTTGTTTACTGTAAACAACAACAAAGTGCCCCATGCAATGCATTATAATTGGCAGTACACATTATGATGGGCATACCACATGTGTCAGTGTAACTCACAATTGGTAAGAGCTACATGTAACTCTATCGGGTGATTGGTTTTTAAGACAATGTACACAGCAAAATGCTACCAGTCACTAGTGTAGGCAGCAATTTAATGTGTCGAGAACTTCCATCGTGAACGAAAGTTTGTACAAGTAAACTAATAATCCTGTGAATTTGCATTCTTTCACCCTCCCCCGCATATTTTGCCTCGCGCCTGCCAGCCAATGCGTAAACAGTCCAACTGAGGCCGCTCGTGCGCGCGCTCTACTGACTGACTTCCTACGAATGTGGGCGCACGACGGAAGCTAGACTACCTACGAATGACGGAAGTTACACTTCCTTTTGGTGACTAATTGACATTCCTAAGCGTGACTAATTGACGACGTACGTACGCATATCGCGAGAATACAACCCGGAGTAGTTGCCTCATGCTAACGCGCTCGGCAACTACCTCAGTCCCTTTACTTGGACTCTATAACGGTGGTGGTTACTAGTAGCATGACTTTTTTGTATAATAAGTTCTGAGTATTGTAATGGTGAATGTTTACTACTTCACCTAGGCAACAATATAGGGATTGTGTGATGGGGTTGGGGTGTCAGCTTGCTCAAATCTGTTCATTAACCATGCTCCATGTAAGGTAAATGGGGGTAACTCCGGATGCGGAGGTAACTCCGGACATGTGGGGTTGCACCAGCCTCGAAATTATGCGCTGCGAAAAAAACGCGAGGAAGATTTGTTAGCACTTTGGCAGGTAGTAATCAAGTGAAATATATCCGAATCTTTCTCTTGTTTCTGAATAGTGAGTTATGTCCAGGTATTACCCTGTGTCCGAAGTTACCCCAATTTACCTTCATTACATTACCTTATTACATTACACAATAGTAAATATGAAAAAGTCATACTACAACCATGATTCATGTATCCCAATCCTACCTTGTCTCCCTTTCTTTTTATACCATCCCTATAATAAATTCGCAGGATTTTAGTTACTCCAGTGACATGCAGCGCTATTGCTCAATGCAGAGAACGGCATGAAAATGCTCCAACTTCACCGCTCGAGATCTACACAAACTAAGAGACATGTCAGCAGGAAAACGCATATATACCTCCCTGGGATATCCCCTTCTTGAAGCTGAAAATAGTTCTGCATATACAGCTACTGCCAAAGACAGTGCGCATCTGGATTTTCACGAAACCAACCCACACAACCATACACCGCGATAAACGACGTGCCGTGTTTCGCTCACCACTGGTCCCGCAACCAAGCCTTCCTGCAGGCCCTCCAGATCGAGAACCCAAATGGTCTAAACCCCAATGCTTTTTGCTCCAAAGCCAGCCTCTCAGCTACGAGACCACACCCTCTATTAGCAA